AACGTGTGTGTGTGTGTGTGTGTGTGTGTGTGTGTGTGTGTGGTAGGATGCAGTGGAGAACAAACTGGAGGTTAAAGACTGGCCGTATCAGTCTGAATGTCCGTCTGCGTGGAACGGCTCTCGTGCTGTAAGGTAGGGCCGGCGAGACTTCACTCTATTCAGTTACAGTTAAGTCTCTTACATAATTCATGGCAGCTCATCCATCAGTTTAAAACAATAAATCCCAAATGTTTCATTATAATTGTTGAGTGTAAAGTTGTAGTCAATGTCTCTCTCTTCATTCCTCTGGCTGTCAGAGTGGTGAGGTAAGACTGAAGATCAGCCCTTTGGGGTTGTTGGCTGCTTTTTCTGTGTGCACATACACTATTACACATGTTTAATTTCTTTGTGTTTCTTTATTTCAAGTGTTGTTTTTTTTATAATATGGGCCTACCTAAAGTTTAAAGGCTTCTCATTTCCCACTGATGATCTAATTGCATGATGAAATGGATCATACAGTACTGTTCGAAGGTTTGGGGTCAGAAAGAAAGATAGATAGATACATACTGGTATTCAGGGCAAATCAAATTGATCAAAAGTGACCGAAGAGACATTTAGAATGTTATAAAAATTTATATTTCAAATAAATGCTGATTTAATCATTTGAATTTGTTTATTTGTATTATTTTGCCAATATAAGAATCTTAAGCAAATTTATACCAGGCTTATGTAATGTACTGTAATGTAATGTAGTGTAATGCAATATAATTTTTTTCAGATGCAGAGATTGTTTCCTAGTATTAATTGCCAAGCAGTTTTTAAAATTGATTTTAAACAATTACAAATATATTAACCATTAACCAATAAAATATTTGATTATTATTATTGTGAAAGAAAGAAATATTTTTAAATAACATTTTTTATATAAAATATTTTATATTAAAAAAACTGTATTACATTTGAAGCATCCCAACTGTTTTCAACATTGATAATAATAATAAACATTTTATTTTATATATTTAAAAAAAAATTTTAATTGTATTTTATTCAATTTTATTTTAGCAAATCAGCATATTAGAATGATTTCTGAAGGAGCATGTGACACTGAAGACTGGAGTAGCTCAGCTTTGATCACAGAAAATAAATTACTTCTTAAAATACATTAACATAGAAAACAGCTATTTTAAATTGTAATAAAATTTCACAATATTACTGTTGTTTTTTTTTTTTTTATCAAATAAATGCAGCCATGGTGAGCAATAGAGATTTCTTACGACCCCAAAAATCTTACGACCCCAAACTTGTGAACAGTGATGCCGCATGTGATTTAACGTGTCCTTACATGGATGGGGTCTGTTTCCTGTCAGCGCGCGGCAGAAGCACAAGGGCAGTTCTCCGGATGATCTCAGGAGCGGCTCGCGGCTCATCGTCTTTGTTCTGGGTGGGGTCAGTTACTCAGAAATGCGCTGTGCTTATGAAGTCACGCATGCTAATAAATCCTGTGAGGTCATCATTGGTAAGAGTCCATACGAGTGCTAAGCTAACAACATGATTCAGTAAGCCTGAAAAGAGGCTTAAAATGCTGCCTGTGTTTTGAAATGCAGTCCGATTCAAATGCCTTATGAATTGTCTGTAGGCTCGACGCACATCCTCACTCCACGTGGTCTGCTGGAGGACATTTATAACCTGGACAAATAACCCATGGAAAGCTTTAACATTGAGGAGGACAAACCCTGAACAGCCCTGCCCTGCCATTTCCTCCTCAGGACTGAAGGGAACAGATCTCAGCTGCTTTTCACCTCACAGCATTCACTTAAAAGCTTATTACAAAAAACAAAACAAAAACATAGTTCTACATGGAACATTTTGAGGTCATTTCATGTCTAAAGTCTCAGGTGTGCTCAGTTTAGGTTATATGTAACAGTAACTCTTCACAACTAACTTCAACTTTGAGCTATTTAGGCTTTTTAAATTGTTAACTTTATAAAATCGTGAAAATTATAACATTATCTTTTAATATACATCATGATTAAAGACTTAAGTAAGACCCAATTTGTTTGATAACCCTTTAATACAATAGAAGGACTTTTAAAAAGAGATCAGCTCGTGACCAGAGCCTTAGCTCATCGTCTTTGTTCTGGGTGGGGTCAGTTACTCAGAAATGCGCTGTGCTTATGAAGTCACGCATGCTAATAAATCCTGTGAGGTCATCATTGGTAAGAGTCCATACGAGTGCTAAGCTAACAACATGATTCAGTAAGCCTGAAAAGAGGCTTAAAATGCTGCCTGTGTTTTGAAATGCAGTCCGATTCAAATGCCTTATGAATTGTCTGTAGGCTCGACGCACATCCTCACTCCACGTGGTCTGCTGGAGGACATTTATAACCTGGACAAATAACCCATGGAAAGCTTTAACATTGAGGAGGACAAACCCTGAACAGCCCTGCCCTGCCATTTCCTCCTCAGGACTGAAGGGAACAGATCTCAGCTGCTTTTCACCTCACAGCATTCACTTAAAAGCTTATTACAAAAAACAAAACAAAAACATAGTTCTACATGGAACATTTTGAGGTCATTTCATGTCTAAAGTCTCAGGTGTGCTCAGTTTAGGTTATATGTAACAGTAACTCTTCACAACTAACTTCAACTTTGAGCTATTTAGGCTTTTTAAATTGTTAACTTTATAAAATCGTGAAAATTATAACATTATCTTTTAATATGCATCATGATTAAAGACTTAAGTAAGACCCAATTTGTTTGATAACCCTTTAATACAATAGAAGGACTTTTAAAAAGAGATCAGCTCGTGACCAGAGCCTTACAAACTGGTGCCTTTATTTACCAGTGAAAGCAAAATGCTTGCACTGGATTTTCAGTAACACTTTTTTTGTATTTCTATCTCGCACACTAACGGTAGTTATTTGCAAAATCCACCTGAAATTTGAAATTTGAAAATATGTTTTCATGTTTTGATGATTTGTTTGTGAATTAGGTTGATTTGTACATATGTATTGTGTGCTTTTGTGCTGCTTTAGTGTTTTGCTTGTATAAAACATTAACTGATGAATGAACAAATGAGGGATTTAACCGATTTAATGCATACTTTACTGTGCATATATATATATATATATATATATATATAAACAGGCTCGGATAACCCCATTACTTAAGAAACCCACTCTTAACCGAGCACTTTTAGAGAACTACAGACCGATATCCCTTCTTCCATTCATTGGGAAGTTTCTCTGTCTCTGTCTCAGAGGAGTGCTGGGGAACATGACGAGGAGGCTCTGCAGTTGACTGGGGGAACATAGGAGGCTCTGCAGTTGACTCAACACTTGAACGAGTTGTGTTCAACCAAATCTCTTTCCTTCTCACACAGAACAACCTCCTCGACAGCAACCAGTCTGGCTTCAGAAGTGGACATTCAACCGAGACTGCCTTGCTCTCAGTTGTTGAAGGCCTAAGACTGGCAAGAGCGGATTCCAAATCCCCAATACTTATCTTGCTGGATCTGTCCGCTGTTTTTGACACAGTTAACCACCAGACATTTAGCTACTGGGGTGCCTCAGGGCTCAGTGCTTGGACCACTTCTCTTCTCTATCTACATATCATCACTACGTTCTGTCATTCAGAAACATGGCTTTTCATATCACTGATATGCTGATGACACTCTACTCTACCTCTCATTCCATCCTGATGATCCGACGATAGCTGCTCGCATCTCAGCTTGTCTAACAGACATTTCTTGCTGGATGAAGGACCATCACCTTCAACTCAACCTTGCCAAGACAGAACTGCTTGAGGTTTCAGCAAACCCATCACTTCATCACAATTTCTCCATCCAGATAGGCGCATCAACCATAACACCTTCCAAGACAGTCAGGAACCTTGGAGTTATGATTGATGATCAGCTGAATTTCTCAGACCACATTGTTAGAACTGCCCGGTCCTGCAGATTTCTCTTATACAACATTAGGAAGATCAGGCCATTAGAACATGCTACAGAAATCTTGTTCGAGCTCTTGTTCTGTCAAGGCTGGACTATTGCAACGCTCTCTTAGCAGATCGTCCAGCCGGTTATATCAAACCAAAACTAATCCAGAAAGCAGCAGCAAGATTAGTCTTTAATGAGCCAAAAAGAGCGCATGTCACATTTTCTTTTTATTTATTATAAAAAATGGCTCTCTAACACTAGCGTTCTCTATTCATTTTCTATTCTTTCTTTTTATTCATTTGCGTTAGGCTAACCGAGACTTGTCACCGCACTTACATATTATTGCTCATTTGTTGGTTTGATTGCTTCAATTGTCCTCATTTGTAAGTCACTTTGGATTAAAAACATTTGCTAAATAACTAAATGTAACATATATATATATATATATATATATATATGCATACACACACACGGACTGGATGATGCTGAGATCAGATCTCTGTGTGGAGCACTGGCTGTTTTCAGACAAAAATCTCACTGGACAATTAATGGCAAAAGGAATGCAAACTGATATACTGACTATACACACACACACACACACACAGTACTGTGCAAAAGTCTTAGGCCATTAGTATTTTCACAAAAAAAAAAAAAAAGTTATTTC